CAAAACATATATTAAATCATAAACATATATCAAGTAGTTTCATTATCAAAATACGAGATTCAACAGATACTAATTCTTAGGATCAAGAGTGACATTGAGAGGGGGGGGGGGTGTGAATTAGTACAGTGAAAAAATCATTTATTTCAAAAAATATTTGTTTCGATTATATCTATTTCGAAAAGATATTAAACTTGAAAGCGTTCATAAAAGTGTAAAGAGAAAGTTAAGGAAGATTACAGTAATGAAAATTGCTCAAATGGAAATACAAACCAGAATTTAGAGTGGTTCGATCATTATGACCTACATCCACTTTCGATTCCTCCTCCGCCGTGATCACCAGCATCCACTAATGGTCTTCCTTCAATAGGCAAAGACCAACCACCTTTTACAGCTCTTTCTCCTTTTACCGAGTTTAGGAGATAACCCTTACAAGCTTCACTCCTCTTTCATGGATGGTTATAAAGCTAAGAGAGGGAGGGGAGGACTCTTCTCACTTTTACAACACTTTCCTAAGAATTCAAGATTATGTTAACACTTTTGTGCCTTTTCATACAAAAAATGGTGGGGTATTTATAGGCCCCAATGGCTTCTGAATTAAAGCCAAAAAGTGTCACTTCCCCGGATTTCGAGGTACTAGCAGTACCACCGCCATTATTGGGCGATACTACCGCTTGCTAACTAACACTAGGCGGTACCACTGCTCTATCTGGGTGGTACCATCGCTCAATCTGGGCGGTACCACCACTTGATAGAGCTCAGAGACCAAGCTCTAGTGGTACCATCGCTTGACAACGGTGGTACCATCGCCCAGTCTATGTGGTACCACTACCCAAAACACCTTGGAAATCGAGTCCCAAGCAGTGCCACCACCGGCCCTAGCGGTGCTATCGAGGGTCGTGATTTCAAATGCTGAATGGGCTGTTCAATCAGGCTCAATTCAGCCCTGTTAAGGGCCTAGTTGGCCCTTGACTGAGTTAGTGGGATTACTTCCTGATCCTAACTCAACTAATTTTCTAACTACGATTAAGGCAAGCAATTAGTCATGTATGTCGATTTTTCTCTCGGTGATTCTTCAGCGAACTTCTCGGCGAGTCTTCCGGTGAACTCTCAGCAATCTTCCAACGAACTCTCGGCGATCTTCCAACGAGCTTTCGACGAACTCCCGACGAACTCTTAGCGATCTTCAGACAAGCTCTTAGCGAGCTCCCGACACACTTCTAGTGCATTGTATGCTTTATGCCTTACAGCTATCGTAGTTAATCCTACACACTTATCTCAACACATAGACTAGGTTAAACAATTTACCAGTTGATTTCATCATCAAAATATGAGATTCAACAGAAATAAACTAAAGAATTAGTAGAGAAGGAAAAAAAACTGGTTTGCAAGTTAAAAAAATTATTTATGACATTAAACAAACTTCATAATACCATTATTTTTTTAAATTCAAGAAAATGCTATTAATTAATGCATATCTCTAAAGGTCAATGGGAATAATAAGATATCAATTTTATAGTTAGAATGCCAAATAGATATTAAAGTTTTTAAAAATAAAATATTAGAAGATTATAAAGAAAATAATAAGATATTTATAATGGACAAAGGATTATATGCTTAGACACAAGAGACTAGATCAACTTGAAATGATGATATTTTTATATGTTGATTTTATAAATTATTTCAATAGTAAGAAGTCCACTTTATGATTTATACTTATATTAGCTAAAAGAACTATTTATAATAAAAGTATAAATTAATTTATTATTATATTATCAATAATAAAAGCTAATTACATGATATGTTTTGAGGCCATTAATCAAACTTTGTGGTTGTGAAATTTTATTTTAGGACTTGGGATAGTCATAATCAATTATCCAGTCACTAAAAATATTTTTTAATCAGTCTAATAGTTTCCTTTTTCGATAATGATAAGTACTATATTGAACCTAACCATATCGACATAAAGTAGTTGGTGGTTAAAGAAAGAATTCAAAAATAACCAATATTTATTGAGAACCTAAGTTTCACTATATTAATTGTTAATCCATTTATTGATGTCTTGCAACCTAAAGTATTTAAAGATGAGGTTTGTAAATAATCCATAAAAGTTATAGTGATGCATATTTGAGGGTGATGCATATTTGAGGGGACATTATAATTGATATTCTTATTTATGTAACTAAAATTATTTCTTTATGCTATTCTGTTTATATTTATATTTACACATATTATTGTTAAATATGATAACAAAATTTTTTTAATAAAATAAATTACATGAATCATTTTGGACTACGTTAAGAAAGGCTAATAATATTGTAATATATAGAAGGAAGTATGATATTGATGATATATAATCATATTATTTATATTGATAGTTAGACTTAATAAAGTATTATTATATTTATTAAATTTATTAACTTATTTTTTAAAAATCATTTACACATGTAAAATATTTTTAAAAATTTTAAAATCTAATTAGGTAAAATTATTTTGTAAAATAAATTTTATTTTATTTATTTTAATTTTAAATCCTTTCTGTTTTCTAAAAAACTATAAAGAGCCAATGGAATAAGAGGAGACGATCAAGATAGAGTAGAAGGAGGATAGGGGAAGGGTTGAGTCAAATTGGTTTATTGGTCTAAATCGATTCATTACCTTAAATTAGTTTGATCTAAATCAATTTAAAACAATTAAAAATAAAAATAAAATTGATATTTATGGAAAGAAAAGTCATTGGGTAAAAATAAATTATATGGTGCCATTCGATTAAAAATAAACAGTAAATATGTCATTTGATAAATTGTCCTAAAATCATTTTATGCTTACGAAGTAAGAATCATTTTATTATAAGAATTTTTTTTTTGACTTTTGACTCGCCAGTGGTCGCTCTTCCTACCCATTTCAGATACACCGTACAAAACAGTGACACTGCCGAATGCTGGTCCCGCGGGGCTCACGTTTGGGATCAATCTTGAGGGAGGTAGACATTGCGATCACGTTAGTCTGGTATGAGAAAACTTTGTTTTTGAGCGCATCCTACCCGTCTGATCGTCATGGTGAAATCCAATAACCTCGTTAGTGGGTCCCATAGGGCGCCGAAAATGAGCCGAGGGAAGTGGGAAAGAACGTTTCCCAGCCCAATCGACGACCGCTAGGATAAGGGGACGGAGAGAGAGAGAGAGAGAGAGAGAGAGAGAGAGGATGGAAGGAGGCGGAGACATGGGGCTCATGGAGTGGTGCCGAGAGCTGCCCAAGATCGAGCTCCATGCCCACCTCAATGGCTCGGTCAGAGACTCCACGCTACTGTGAGATCTTCCCATCTTTTTCCTCCTCTGACTACTCGTCTCCTACCACCCATGTCTCTCCGTAGCTATAGATTTTGGCTCCACCGAACCATTCTTCATCACGTAATAGCTACATAGAATCATGTATCGCACCCCTAATTTCATGCTTGAGCTTTTGCAGGATAGTGAGAATCGTATTCCCTCCTTCCTAAGTTTTGGGGATTTTTCATCACCCTAACATTGATAGAAGAATTGAGGTTATTCACTTTATTATTTTGATATTTTTGTAGCCCGCCTTGGGATGTCGGGAACGATCTCGAAAATTCAAGTTGCATAACATTTAGTAGTACCTTAAAGCAAATTATATCCACAGGACTGGCCATGAGGTGGATTGCTGATTTTTTGTTTTTTTTGAAAAAAAAAGGTGGATTGGTGATATTGCATCATGTAAAAGGCCGAGACAAAGGAATTTAAGGTACTCATGGTTTTAGGTAGCTACAGGACAATAAGTGTCCGAGTGACACATAAAAATAAAGAAAACAAAAAAGATCAACATCTAAACATATATGGATGTTTTGACTTTAGATATTATTTCCTTTCTATATGTCTGTTTTTTTCCCTGTTAGTTTGACTTTTGTACTACTAAGTGGAAGTGGATTATTATAATTGTTGCTTGTAATGCAAAAGGCTAGTTGTCTTGGTACGGTTGTATAATAAGAAGGTCAAATTGCACTTGTTAGATCAGTTTAATTATCAAGTAAAACCAACACCTATCTGTCAAGTTTATGACGTTTTGAAGGTCGCATGGAGTCTGCCAATCATAAGGCTAGTACAGTTCTGCTATCAGAAGAACACTTTATATGGCTTATTTTTCTTTTGTGTGACTTTTCTCAATGAAATTTCTTCTTCAGAGAGCTTGCAAAAGATTTGGGCGAGAAAGGTGTCATTGCTTTTGAGGATGTTGTGCATGTTATTATGAAAAGTAATTGATACTCCGATCTTCTGGTTTTCCTTATTTCAATTGTTGCTATTATGGAGCTGATAATATGCATATTTTATTCTCTTGTGATTATCTAATTTGAGCTGAAATTTTAAATCTTAGATGATTTGTTTACGTTTCTTTAGCAAACTTCAGTTTTCTATTATTTTGTCTAAAAAGTACAATCACCTACATCTCTGTAACTTTTGTTCAGCCTTTGCCATGAATTACCTTTCCGTAGTAAGGGAAAAACCAAGACACAGAAGCATTTCCATTTATGAGATTATGGATTTCCAGATATTCCTGTTATATAACTGTATCTTACCTATGGTGGTCTTATTCATCCTGTAACGTTTAATTAATTAATTTGGAAATTTTCGTTATTCTTATTCTAGGTGTTAAATTTACCTGAACTCAATGATATTACTTACAACAATCTTACCACCAGTCTCCACTATGAAAAGTTGCTTGAAAATTGAGTATTTATGAATCTTTTATTTGAAATTTGCCACGACATACATTGCAAAAGTCACAGTCAGTGTGGTTTGCTTAGCTGCTGGATTTTGCTAGTGCACCAAAAATTATCATTTTCAATTGATAATTTGAGCAAACTGTATTAAACATGTTCATTGGATCTAACATTATTTTGGTTTCCACTTCATCTTTTAGATTTTCTTTAGTAAACATTATTCCACATCATATCCACCTTTAATAAACCTGTAGGATCCTTTTTGAATGTAAAAAGAAAAGAAAAAGAAAAAAAAACTGAGACTCCCTCTGCATTTGATTCTAAGATTTAAAAATTATGTCTTAAGATACTCTTTAGGACAACGAAAAATCATGATAATTCGTGGTGACCACAATGATATACTAATTCAATATTGGTCATAACTGCTTTGGAATTTTTTAATTGAACATTTAATGCAGATGGTCGATCTTTGCCAGAATGCTTCAAGCTTTTTGACTTGTATCACCTACTTACTACTGACCATCAAACTGTAACAAGAATCACCAAGGAAGTATGTCCTATGCACACCTGTTCAGAGACCTTATTCTTTATGTCACTTAATCCTGCATCATGCTTCATAATAGGTCATTGAAGATTTTGCTGCTGAGAATGTTGTCTATCTTGAATTAAGAACAACTCCAAAGGTATATTGTCTGTCATATGCTTGTCTTAACAATGGAAAATCAAGTTTTGACTATGCTAGATGTAACAATCAAGAAGTGCACATTTCCTTGTTCTTTGTTTTCTGATATTGCAGAAAAATGAAGCTAAAGGGATGACCAAATGCTCATATATGAAAGCAGTCATTGACGGCATAAGAGCCGTTGATACTGTTGATGTTGACTTTGATACATCTGGCACGAGCAATGTGAACTGTTCAGAAGCTACTCCACTAAACTGTATAGGCAGTCCCATAAAGAGGAAAAAGATCTATGTACGTCTTCTTCTGAGTATTGACCGTCGTGAGACAACTGCAGCAGCATTGGAAACAGTTCTGTCGCCACACCATCTGCTAATCTTTCATTATTTATTTTAGTAGTCAATTTGAGCACTGCTTAATCCAGATATCGTCTATCTTAACAGGTTAATTTAGCAATGGATCTGAAGAATTTTGGAGTGGTTGGCATTGACCTATCTGGCAATCCTGTTATTGGAGAATGGTAAATTGCAATTTTTAATTCATATACTTATGAAAACATCGCAATTACACTCGTCTGTTGCTTGCTTGATGATTTGCAGGCAGACCTTCCTGCCAGCCCTGAAGCATGCTAAAGAGCTAGGGCTTCCTATTACTCTCCACTGTGGAGAGGTGTGGCAGAATTTTGACATTATATTTTTTTGACAAGAAGTTCTTCAGTCATCAACCATAGTCAGTTGCTCTTAAAATTAGGAGTAGAAAGTTTTTTATGCTGGTTAATTTTTTATGATCCAAATTGTCTAACTAATTCATTGTAATAACTTAGAGATTTTAGGTGCCAAACCACAAGGAAATCCAAGCAATGCTTGATATCTGCCCCCAGCGAATAGGCCATGCTTGTTTCCTTGTAGAAGAGGAATGGAAAAGGGTGAAATTCTTAAAGATCCCGGTAGTATTCTTCTTATTTTTCTTTATATGTGTTATTAGGTAGTTTGTCTTCATATTATTGTGCTTAAGAGTCACTTTTTCATGGCAGGTTGAGATATGTTTGACATCCAATATCCGAACTGAACGTTTTTCTTCAATATATGATCATTTTTTTGGTTTGTATTACATTTTCTTAAATTTTTTGGGGCTGATGTACAAGGAATATGTGCTTCTATTGAACATGCGTCTTGACCTCATCTGTGCAGCTGATCTTTACAAAGCGAAGCATCAAGTGGCACTGTGCACTGATGATTCTGGCCTGTTCTCAACAACTCTATCTAATGAGTTTTATCTAGCTGCCTCGACATTTGGTGTGTCAATTCACCATCTTTCATTACAAAGCAAGCATATTATCTGGCAAGTATTACATAAGATTTATTGCGTTGTATCGTCTTATACAGGGCTAAACAAGGATGAAATGTTTCTGCTTGCTCGAAGTGCAATTCAATCTACATTTGCTGATGATGAAGTCAAACACGAACTAACAAAGATTTTTGATGATGCTGCGAATAGATTAATCATATAATCTGTGGTTATTGGAAGTAATTGCTCCCGTATATTTATTTCTTTAGTATTCTTGAAGGGTCAGGCATATCAGCTGAATGTTTTTGCACTACATGACTTTTATCTTTCACTTATTGGTGCAAAAATTAAGATTATGATTGCTAAATTTGCATTCTGCATATGCTCCAAGAACCCAAACGAAGATCAGGTGCAAGCAAAAACAGAATTCACCATGTAAATCCAATGAAATAGGTAGGTATCATCCTTGATCCCTTGTGTTGCTGATCAGATCTCTCTTCTGTAGCTATGTTGCAAAGAATGGACTTAAAAGATGCCTCAGCTGTTGTATTCTGTACCATTGAAAAATATGGTTTTATGATTGTATGGATTAGATCAGGTGCAAGCAAAATCAATTTTTATGCTTTTATGATGAGACCTTGTCTGCTGTAACTAAACACTTAAACCAGACAAGGCAACAAGTTATAGGAGGTGATATGGCAAAAAATGGCAGACCGAGCACAGCCGGACGGGGCAGAAGAAGGTAATGGTTGAAGCTCGCCCATACCCTGCGATCCCCTGATCTCCCACGCAACCCCCTGAGCAACACACTGCCCGAGGCTCTCCGTACCCTGCAGCAGCTCGGCCTCCCACACAACCCCAGCGGTAACATCAAACCTCCTCTATAAACACCCCTGAGTCCTAAGCAAAAAGGGGGGAACTCACTCAAACACAACACTCAGCGGCTCTTCTTCTGCCTCATCCACAATCCCCTCCACATCCTTCTCTAACTTGATCGTCGGAGGGGTCGGGCCGAGCTCCCGGCCCGACCTGTGTGCAGGTGCGAGACGGTGTTGCCTCTTCCCGAAGCTGCGGCGGAGCTGCCTCCCGACCCGAGCCGCCGACCCGAATCGCCGAACCAAGCTGCCTCCCGAACCGAGCCGCCGACCCGACCGGGCGACCCGAGCTGCCGAACCGACCTCCCGACCCGAACCACCGAGCTCGGCCGCCGGGAGACCTCGAGGAGCGCCCCCAAGGAGATCACCGCCTTCCGGACCCGAACCGAGCCGCGACGGCCCCGAGGCCACGGCTAATAAGTTACTTACACTAACAGGAGGTATACTGCCCCTAGCTGGTTTTGTTAGAATACCATGTGTGGCATGAGATGATGATGGTAATAATTGAGTAGATATGGGTTGATGTTATTTAATCCATGATATGTAATTTCGAATGGTACCGTCCGATACGGGTGGTATGTATTGGTCCGATGGTATACTGGTACACGGATCGCCCGTTACTAGACGGAACGTGCTATAGTGCTACAATAAGAGGAAGAAATATTTAAAATCGTTCGGTAACGTTGATATAGTGCTCCAACGATCAAATTGATCATTAAAGCTCTTTCTCATAGTATTTAAATCTCTTTTTCTCTTCTATTTCATTTTATTACATTTTCATATTCTCTTAAACTATTTTAATTTTAAATTTTTTCACATTTGTGCTCTTCTAAATTTTACAAAATAACGATTTGTGAATTGAATCAAGGTTAATTTAGGAAGATTAAGAGGAAGAACTTTCTAATCAAGAGGTATGTTTACATAAGGACAATTCGTAATAGACTGAAATATGAACTCTATATAAGATATTCTTCAAAACTTGAAAAAGATATGTGATACTATTCTTACCTAATTTACATTGATTTTGCTAAACTTCGGTTATTACTATATTTATTTCTAACTTAAACAGTCTATCCTAATTTTTTTTATTTTCAGGTATTTTCAAAGGGTTTTACACCTAAATTAGGTGTATCGCTCGGTACGCCCTGGCATACCGCTCGGTACACGGTATCGTTTCGTACCAAGCCAACATCGAAACACCGGTATGGTACGGTATTGCATACTTTGATTTAATCATTTGATATATTATTATTCTTTAAATTATTGAATGATTTGATGTGGGTAAATAATAAGATAATATTAATAAACTCTCATATAGTGTTGATATTGTTGAATCTTGGATTTTGATGAAATCAATTGATGAGTTTACGATCTAATTTGTGTTTTGAGTGACGTAGGACTAACTTCGATCAAATAAGATAAATCGATTAAAGCAGGAGGAATCGGACGTTAGGTTGGAATGAAACATGTCAAGAGATTGGATGTCAAATTAGATGATCGATCGACGTATCAGTAGAAGGATTTCATACCATGAGTTTGTGCATTGGGTCGAAGGATTGGATATTGTGCCAAGGATATCGGAAGTTGCGGGAGTTAATATGTCGATTGGCAATACGTCGAAAGAGAGAACGATGCGTCACAAGATCGAATGAAGCGTTAGACGAACCAATGATATGTCGGACAATATAAGATTCATACTTGTAATCGTATGTGTCTAGATCAAGTTAGTTAGGTCTAATTGAGTTGATTTTGGATGAAACAATGCCAACTTGATTATGAGCCAATTGGGCCTGAATCAGCGCTGAATGAGGCATGTTGTTTGGCTCATTCAATAACCTAGCAAGGTTTGGCAATGGTACCACCAGACTAGGTGGTGGTACCACCCTGACATAGTCTCCCAAACTATGTCAAACGGTGGTATCGCCAAATTGGGTAGTGATACCGCCTAGTGTCAATGTTAGATTAGCGGTGGTACTGCTAGTTGTTAGTTTGGCAAGCGATTGTATCGCCTAGTACTAGTGGTGGTACCGCTAGTACCTCGAAAACTTGGGAATTTGAATTTTGACTCTAATTTTTAAAGTTATTTAGAGTTTATAAATACCCCATAAATTTCTGCTTGGAAAAGACACGAAAAGTAGAACCAAAACTCTGTAATTTGAAGGTTGCAAACACTATTAGAAAGTTGAGTTCCTTCCTCCATATGGGAATACTTGTAATAGAGAGGTGTAAAGGTTCTCTCCTGAACCTGTGAAAAAGAGAAAGAGTTGTAAGGGTGGCTGATCTTTGCCCGTTGTAAAGAAGATCGGTAGTGGAAGCCGATGGCTTCGAGTGAAAAGGAATCGGGCGTGGATGTAGGTTACGACGATCGAACCACTATAAATTCAATGTGCTCTTTTCCTTTGCTGCTTACTTTTATTGCTTACTTAGCTGCTCACTTCACTTTACATTTACTTTAAGTCAAGTTTAAACGCTTTCTGATACGGACTTTATCGAAACGGTTTTTCTACATTGAACGAGTTTTCAAATTGACGTAATTTTTATGTAAGCACTAATTCACACCTCCTCTTAGTGTCGATTTCGGTCATAACAATTGGTATTTTTCTCATTTGGTTTAACACCCAAGAAAAATGGCTTTTGTCAACAATCAAGAGGGTCTTTCTATCGTTCGTCCTCCTATGTTAAATTGGACAGACTATATGTATTGGAAAACTCGAATGAGAGTTTTTTTGCTTTCTATAGATTTCAATTTATGGAACATTGTTGAAAGCGGTTTTGAAAAGTCTTCCAAACCAATAATCAAATAGAATGATTTGGAGAAGACTTTTTCTTTGAATACTAGAGCTATGAACGCTCTATTTTATGCTTTGAATAAAAATAAGTTTTATCATATTTTTTTAATTGAAACTGCACATGAGATTTGATACACACTAGAAGTAACTCATGGAGGCATGGTAGAGTTAAAGAGTCTAAAATAAATCTTTTGATACATGATTTTGAACTGTTTCAAATGAAGCCAAGTAAAACCATTGTTGACATGTACACCTAAATTACGGATGTCGTCAATAGCTTATAAGCTCTTGGCAATTATTTTTCGAATCTTGAACTTGTTAATAAAGTTTTATGATCTCCTTCTAAAAATTAGGATTCGAAAGTAACTACAATACAAGAGTAAAGGACTTAAACAATTTTTTATTGGAAGAACTTATCGGTTCATTAATGACATATAAAATGACTTGTATGACACATAACGAACTTGAGAACAACCTTCCAAATAACAAGAAAGGTTTGACACTTAGAATAAAAAGAGATAACTCAAGCAAAAACTCAAGTGATGATGACTTTGAACTCTTCACAAGTAAATTTAAAAGGTTCATAAAACAAGAATCAAAAAATAAAAATGAACTTAAAAAAGAGAAAAAAACTTGCTATGAATGCAATCGATCGGGATACTTCAAAAGTGAATGTTCGTAAGTGAAGAAGAAGCTAAAAAAGAAGAAGAAAGTATTTAAGGTAACTTGGGACGATTTGAGTGCATTCGAAGACGAGGAGCAAACCGATAAAGAAGAAGTGGCGAACTACGCCTTGGTGGCTTTCAACAATGAGGTAAGTGACTCAACCAAAACCCCTTTACTTTACTATGAAATTACTTGATGCATTTCATGAATTATTTTTAAATTACTATATAAAATTAATAAAAAGCGATCATGCTTCTCTTTCTAGTGATTTAAAAAAAAAAAAACTTGAGCATGAAAATTACATGTTAACTCCTAGCACTAAGTATGAAGAGTTAGATTTACTTAAGAAGAAAAATGTATTACTATAACAAACAAAATAATTTTGATTGAAAATGATTTATGTTTAATTAAATTATGCTTGATGATTTAATAATGCATGATGATTTGAAGTAATGATGATTTTTATGATTTATGATTTATTGATCTTGATGACTTTTGTGATAAATCTTATTTTTCAGTTTTAAACGATGATGCATATTTTTGTTTGGCATAAAAGACAAAGACATACTTGTGTAAAATAAATCACATAAATTGAAACATATAAAAAAAATGAATGTATTATTCTTGAAAATATCTCTATCCCAAAAATCTTATTGAGTTTTCAATAAGAGATTAATGAATCTATTTATGTCATTTTGAATCTCTTATAAGTGATTTTGGTTATTTGAATTTGAATGAGTTTTATCTATATCATGATATTGAATTCTCGAAATTATAACTTGAGATTTTCTTTATATAAATCAAGATCCCTTACTCTTTATTCTCATATGAATCTTATATTTTATTAAAGAGACTACTTATCTAAATGAACTATGATTTTTATCTTGATTTCTTGGTTTTGAATGACTTGCGTTTTTCATTTGAATCAAGATCGGTTATTATGCTTCTTTCTTTTGCTATTCACTAAAAAGGAGATTTCTTTTAATCGTGATCCTTCTCTTGATTTCTGAATATTCTTGAAATTCTCTATGATGTTT